TGTCTCACTGCGCATTTCATAGATAAGAATTGGAACTTGCAGAAAAGAGTGTTACATTTTAGTTTTCTGCCACCCCCACATAGTGGCGTTGCTTTGTCTGAAAAACTTTATGCCTTTTTGATGAATGGGGAATCGAAAACAAGGTGTTTAGTGTGACATTGGATAATGCTTCTGCGAATGGTGTTTCTATTGACATGTTAAGAGAGCAACTAGTTGTCAAAGGGGTTCTTGTACACAATGGCGATCTATTTCACATGCGATGTTGTGCACACATACTAAATTTAGTTGGGCAAGAGGGTTTGAAGCAGATTGATGATTCAATTGTTAAGATTCGTGACAGTGTCAAATATGTCAAGGGATCCCAAGTGAGGAAGCAAAAGTTCTTAGATTGTGTGAAGTTAGTTGCAATTGGTGATAAGAAAGGGTTGTGTCAAGATGTACCAAGTAGGTGGAACTCAACATATCTTATGCTTGAAAGTGCTCTTTACTATCGCTGTGTATTTCAACATTTAGAGTTGAGTGATTCAAACTACAAGCATTGTCCTTCTAGTGCCGAGTGGGACAAAGTTGAAAAGATTAAAACCTTTTTGAAGTTGCTCTATGATGCAACTCTTAAATTTTCTGGAACAAAGTATCAGTACCAAGTAGGTGGAACTCAACATATCTTATGCTTGAAAGTGCTCTTTACTATCGCTGTGTATTTCAACATTTAGAGTTGAGTGATTCAAACTACAAGCATTGTCCTTCTAGTGCCGAGTGGGACAAAGTTGAAAAGATTAAAACCTTTTTGAAGTTGCTCTATGATGCAACTCTTAAATTTTCTGGAACAAAGTATCACACTGCCAAGAAGTTAGTTGCAATTGGTGATAAGAAAGGGTTGTGTCAAGATGTACCAAGTAGGTGGAACTCAACATATCTTATGCTTGAAAGTGCTCTTTACTATCGCTGTGTATTTCAACATTTAGAGTTGAGTGATTCAAACTACAAGCATTGTCCTTCTAGTGCCGAGTGGGACAAAGTTGAAAAGATTAAAACCTTTTTGAAGTTGCTCTATGATGCAACTCTTAAATTTTCTGGAACAAAGTATCACACTGCCAACTTGTACTTCCTTTCCATTTGGCATTGTTGCTTCATGTTGAAACAATATTTAGAAGGTGATGATGAGTACTTAAAGTATATGGCAACAGCAATGTGGGGCAAGTCTCAAAAGTATTGGTCTCAATTCCATCTTACCTTGGCTATAACATGTGTTCTAGATCCTCGTTTTAAGCTTAGGCTTGTTGAGTTTAGTTACAAAAAGATTTATGGAGATGATTGTGTTGAATGTATATCAATGAGGAGTACGTTGTACTCTATTTTTGAAGAGTACAAAAAAAAAAAGGATACAATTAGCCAAAAGACCAATGCTTTTGAAACTTGTATGATGGAAAAAGAAGGAAATGATGATGTGGATATTATATTCAAGTTAATTTCTCTATTTATTAGTAATGCGGATGTTCTATGCTTATGTCTGATTGTGTATTCTTATACTATCTCCTTCTCATTTTGTAGGAATTTGATGAGATTTCTTCAATTGACTCTACTACCGCATCACAGAAATCAGAGCTTGACCTTTATTTGGATGGGCCAAGATTGGCTAGGACCGCGGATCTTGATATCCTTTCCTTTTAGAAATCAAACCAATTTCGATATCCAGCACTAGCTTTTATGGCTTGTGATATATTGGTTGTCTCTGTTTCTACAGTTGCTTCTGAAGCTACATTTAGTGTTGGTGGTAGAGTTCTTGATTCATTTCGTAGCTCACTTAAACCAAAGACAGTTGAAGCACTTGTTTGTACCAGAGATTGGTTATATGGAGACAAGGGTAGTTTCAAACTTACTTAAATTATGTATATTTTCTATATTGATTGTGAACTAACTTGTATCTATATCTATTTGTTTTTGTGTAGATTTCAATGAAGAGGTGGAGGATCTTACACAAGATATCTTTAACTTTTCATTGAAAAAAGAGGAGCATTTCTCACAGGGATCAACTTCTCCTAAACGTAATGATGCACTTAGAGTCCCCCCATTGCAACAAATTATTTAAATGTTTAATAATTAATCATGTATGTTTGTTTTCTAAATTGTGAGACTTTTATGTGTTTATTTTTTAATTTGTGAGAGACTTTCATGTGTTTGTTTTAATTTTGAACTTAGATTATGTAATGTCTCTATATCATGTTAAACAGGTTGAGAAACGTGTTCAGGAATAGGTTCTGAAATAGGTTCTGAAGTAGGTTCAAACGTGTTGACAGTAACCAGGTCATAAACGTGTTGACAGGTAATTAACGGGTTGACACGACACGTTTATGACCTGTTTCGTAAACGTGTTGGTAGGTAATCAACGGGTTGACATGACACGTTTACGACCTGTTTAATAAACGGGTTAATCGTATTATATCGTGTCAACCCGTTAATAAACAGGTCGTGTTTGGGTTTTGAATTTTGACACGATTAATAAACGGGTCGTGTTCGTGTCAGACCTATTCGTGTCAACTGAAGGGTACGACACGAACATGACCTGTTAACACGAATTGCCACCCCTAGCGCCGAGGCCTCCCTGTTGAGGATCGGTCGTTGACGCCGAGGGAACCAGTGTATCTAAGGTGCCCTTTAGACATCGAGAATTCGCGTGTGCTAGCGCGCGTCAAGAGCCCCGCTCAGGTGGTGAGGGCTACGATGTCGAGACAGTAGCCCGGTCAAATCCGCTGTCAGTCTAGGGAAAGATATACTGTATCAACTACCGTCATTGTTGAAGTCAGGAAATCAGGTATTGGGTAAGAGTGGTTAGCCTGACCGGAAAGCAATAATCATGGAAATCCAGCTACCAAATCCCTGAATTAAGGGATATAGGATGATCTTCTCGGGAAATGCAGAGTGGGTCTCTCATATGTATAAGGCCTATAAATAGAGCCATAGGAATTCATTAAGTTTTTTACGCACACTACCAAACTACCACAGAAAGTTTGTAATCTACAACATATTAGTGCATGCACAAGTAGATGTAGACAAAGAATTTTAGTCGAATCACTATAAACTCTTGCCTTCTCTATCTTATTCTGCATCATTAACCCCCAATTAAAACGTGAGAGATTACTGCGAGTGTTCTCAGAGAGTTAATTCTTTGTTGACTGAAATCCATTGTCAACAATTAGTACTATTTATTTTCTATTTTAATTGATATCCTTCAAAAGACAAGGTCGCATATATAAAAGAAAACAAAATAACTAGCTACATATGTTAAAGTATAAAAACTATTGTTGGCCCACCTCCTAATAGCTTAAATTTTTGGGATGGATTGGTAAACTAACAACATAATAGAAACAAGTCCCATTTCTATTTAAAGTTTTATGTTTAATGGATTTAAACAAATTAGCGTAATCCATTAATTTAATTTTTGTTTAACTAAACCCGCAGGAAATGAAGAACCCGTAGGGAATTGAAAATGAGAAGTTGATTCTTCCCAAGGGATTGAGAAGTACTTTCAAGCCCGGTGTTTTGTCAGCGTTAATGGGAGTATGTGGTGTTAGAAATTGTTGTGTCAAACGTTAAATTAAACAAATTTAAAAAAAATATAAATAGCAAAAAAATTTAAGAGACATAAGAATTCTGCAGTGTGAGACCCACACAAATAAGATTCACATTCTATTATATGATAGTGCTTAGTACTAGTGGTACTTTTTAAGCATTTTTCATCAGAATATGGTAATGTAACAGATGAACTTGCTGGAAAAGATCAGGAGACTGTGAAAGACTTTTTGCAGCGATTTTTTAGATATGAACAGGATTTCCTCGGAGTTGTTGCCTTTGTAAGTGTTTGCTTTCCATTGGCCTTGCCCTCATTTTTGCCTTGTCCATTCACAAGTTCAATTTTCAAAAGATAGAAACCGATATATCAAAAATGAATCAACAAGGCTCACTATTGGACACAAACTTTGCATAACCTGAACCTGCTGCTATATCAAAGAGAATCCAATGGACAAGAAGCAATTCTGGAGCAATGGCTATATACATATATCCATATCTCTTCAGAGTAATGTTTATGGGGAGAGGCTATGAAGGAAAAAGACTCTGTTTAATGTTTAACTTGAAACGCTCCTTTTAGCTATTTCCTCTCTTATTTATATTTTTTAAATGCGTTTAATTGAAATACTTTTTTTTTTTCTTTACTTGACCCTATCAGAATAACTTTCTCAATTAAGTCATCAACTTCAATACTTTTTTTTTCACCATCCTCTTAAGTATTATTTTGTCAAACTAACCTTCATAACTACTTTTTTTTCTTGATTGTTCTATTGAAATAATTTTTCTCTTATATACATCTACTAAAAACATTTTTTCCCTTATCATATGTACCGTTTAAAGACTTATTTTTAATCTGATTTGTCAGGAATATTAATACCCATTTCATTGAAAGATGCATTTTATATTTATATAAAAAAAATAGTTGAAACATGCATTCTAGTCCATCTACTTTTTTTTTGAAATCTTATATTTTTAATTGTGTAATTAAAAAATATTTTTTCTTTAATATGATCCTATTGGAGTAATTTTTGGCAAATATGTTATTCATTCACTCATCATTCATCGTTATTAGTTATTAAAAAACCAAAATGGGAAACAAATATATCAAATTAAATGCATAAAATCAGATTACTTTCCAAAATCAAAATAAGAAAAATCAATCAACCTAATCAGTCTAATCTATTCTAATTTATTTTCCATGTTTCCTTTCCCTCACGATCAACCCTATATATTCCTCAATCCTCATCATCTACGTAACGAATGGTAGGCCTTTAACATCGAAAACCATAAACAAAACCCAAAACTCTAGAGGCCCATTAGTTACGACAGTAACTATCAGTGGCGGTCCTCATGATTTTCAACAAAGAATAATAAAAGTCCAAAATGATTATCCAAGATTCCATTCCAAGACACAGAAATTGGTTGCACCTGTCCTCCTCCAACAATAAAAATAAAAGAACCTTGACCGTCATCAAGATATATAAGAGAAAGCATTATTGACTAATCTACTGTTGCTGACTTTTTTGATCAAAAAATTGCCAATTCAACAACACCACAAGCAAATTTGACAACTCTTATCCCCAGAAGAGCAAGAAGCAGATGGGTGGCCATGGCTGCAGCGCCGTCGACGGCCATTTAAACGACGATAACTTCAGCAAGCCTATGCCATGGATCGGCATCTACATAGCAGCAGCATCTGCAGCCTGCCTTGTAGCCATGGCTGCAGATCTAATCCAAGGCTTCCGCTTCAGGAAATTCTGGTTCCCTTGCAACTACTTCTCCATCAACGCCACTTCCCTCACCTTGATAGCTGTCGCAGCCAAGCTTTCTGTAGACCTAAACACCTCCATGCCTAACCGCCGCGACCAGCTTGCGAAGCTCACCAGCGCAGCCTTCATCTGCACAGTGATGGGAAACTCCATGCCGTCTCTCGGAACCATGGGGAATGAAGACTTGTTCATGAACATCATGGCTTTGGGAATTCTGGTAATTACCATCATAGTCAATATCTGCATCCAGTTAGGTACTGGCGCGATTTTCGTTTTCTGGAAAGAACATGCTCTGTTCATGTTTATCATGCTTGTTTTGCTTATTGTCATGAGTTTCTCTGCTCTAATTGTCCCAACCACTAAGCGTTATCTAGAATATAAGTACGACAAAAAGTATGAACTAGCACTTAAAGAAGCCCCAAGTGACATCAATGGCAAAAAATTGGTGTGCAAGCTCAGAAAGGATCTGGATAAGTATTGGATGATGGCTTATACCTGTAGTCCTCAGTTTGTGATGGGGCGTTCGGTGACTTGCACCGCTTCTGGAGCGCTCTGTCTTGTGAGTGCCGCGGTTTTGGGAGAAGCCATAATTAGGTCTTACTTTATGGCATGGTCAGTTAAGTTCTGCACTGGGGATTCAGACTACAAGTGGTCTACTAGCTTAGTTCTAGTAATACAAACTATTGCAGTAGGAGTTGGGACAATTGCCCCAGCTTGTAGATGGCTATTCGCAATCCGTTTTAGGTGCCCATATAGAGGGAACAAAAAGGAGTGGAGAAAGGAATTCAGAGTAGAAAAGTACTGGATCCAGAGACTAGAAGAGATGAAAGACAGTCCCTTGACTTCCTCCATCTTTAAGCATCGGAATAGGTACTGCAGGAGAGTAATTCATGATTCGAAAAATCTGGTTTTGGACATGTGCATCTCAATGCAGATTGGGATTGTGTTCACAAGCAAGTTGATTCGTTTCCTTTCTATTTTCACCGCAAGTAAAGTCTTGTTTTTCTCAGAACTTGGGTGGGAGTTGAAGAGGAAGCTCCGATTCTGCGTTGCTGTTTCAAGTAATGACTCGGAAGAAGATTCACTTCAAGACACCAAGAAGGATCTTAGCCGTTTTGTTTTGCACCTTGAGGGTGAGGAAGCGCTTGTTAAGCTGATCATCAAGCGAAATTGCGATGCCACTGATCATTGGTTTCAGCTGGGGAGGAAAAGACAGCCTAAATATCTCATGAACCTGTTGGAGAAATCTTCACAAGAATTGAGGGGAGTGGCTGAATTTGATTTGAGTGACCAAGTTCCTTGTCTACATGATGAAGAGCCTCCAAATTGTTGGGCTCTTCCTGTGGTGACGCTGACAAGTATCGCCCTTGCGCTTCCAGAGATCGACAGCTCTGCAATCAGACAGTTGAGAAACGGGGTGAGTGAAGGCCTTGTTTATGTAAAACACATGGAGAAGCTCTTGGATGTCAAAGCAGATCTGAGCAACATCAAGAAAGCAGCAGAAGCTGTATGGACAGAAGTTGACCTCTACCACAAATGGCTAGAAGTTGACCTCAAAAAAATTTCACTTTCAAAGGAAACCCCAAATGAAGTGCTTGAAGAACTCGCCCAAATTGCCAAAAATAAGTTTTTGGTGCTCAAGAATGCACACTTGGCTGAATGCTTAAAGGTTAACCCTCTGAAGTGGCCCATCAAGTTGTTAGCTGCTCATTCCATGTACCGAATAAGCCAATCTCTTATTCTCAACTCTGAAAGAATCAACCACCAAACATCGGAGAAACTATTCGAAGCCATAACCGTTATGATCTCGGATATCTTGTGTGCTTGTATGACCAACTTACAACAGGTTATATCAGTCAAGTGCTTGAACAGCGCAATTGAAGAAAGGGAAGAGAGTGTGAGGCATGCTGTTTTCATTCTTGGTAAGTCTGAAGAGATTCTGAAGATTCATGGCCATAAAACGATTCCCAATTTGGACTCTTACCAAATGGCCTGCATTGACGAGTGGCGTTCGTCACACAAAACCAAGAATCCATGGGCGTTCACTCCATCTTCATCAGAGATTGACACACTTTCTCCTGGTTCAACTGATTTATGCATAGGCATCGACTAGAATATACAAGCATATGCCCTATATATATTATATGTATATATATATATATATGAATACTCAAAAGAGCTCATGTTTTTTGTGTCTTTGTAAAAGTTTTAAGACTATAAAGTTTTGCTCCATATTATATATGTAAATATATAGTATGACTCTGATTTGGTGTTTATGTAAAACTATAACTCAGTTTCTGAGCTAGATTCATGTTGACGGGCACTTCAAAGATCCCTGTTTCAGAGTTTTGGAAAGGATAATATATAGAGTTGCATTATGTTTAGGTTAAAATTTGCTTAAGATTGGTAAAATGGGTTTCTTTAATAATATAATATTTCGGACTCGCAAATGCCAACATATATATATATATACATGGAGAAACGATAATTGAGATTTCTGATTAAATTACAGGACTTTTGATATCCAACTGCACAATTAAGCAATTTCAGAGATAGTCTCTAATCCCTATGATGGAAAAACAATAGAGAATTTGGTTACGATATTGAAGAAATTGACTATTTGTAAAGAAAAGAAATAAAACTACAAGTGCAATAGAGTTCTTAAAATTCAATAAACAACAAAACCCAATACAGATCAATCAAAAAATTAATCGCTCAACATCAAATTACCCCCAGAAAAAGGGAAAATTTGACGAACATATTGGGTGGGTAAGTTGGTGTTCTAAGAATCGTCGTCTCTGTCGTTCTTGGGCTTACGGTAGGTCCCCTCGATGTGCTTGGAAAAGAAGATTGCAGTGTTGACGAGCTTCTTGACGTTTGGAACATTGTAGTTCTGAGCTATATACACTCCGGCGACGGTGCCCGCCAGAAAGTTGAAGCCGCTCCTTATTATCCCCATCTCTTCCAGAAACTTCTCTGCTTCGACTTGGTCACTTGGAGGAGGAGAAAAAAAAGAGGTAAGTGGTTTTAATTTTTAAGTAAGAGGACGCGTAAAAGCAGCCCTTGACTAAACAGGCATTGGGTATTTCATGTGGGTGCACCGTGTAATGGTGAAAGGCGCACCATGGGATGAACTAATATTAATGGTCTTTTAATTGCCAGAGGTCCACGTGGCGCCACGCTGTGTATGGGCAGAACAGAATACGGGAGTGGGATCCACTTATTTTAAAAGCGATTATTTTTTTCTTGCGTTTCTTTCTTTCTTTTTTTTTTTCCCTGCTTTCTCTTTCTTCTTTTCTCATCCCTCCCACTTTCCCGGCACCGGCGATCTCCGCCGAAATCACCTACAGCCATCTGAACCACACATTTTTCTGCATTTTTGCTTTGCAATTTCCTTACTACCCCCCACTAACGTCACTTCTACACCGTTCGATTCAAATCGGTCGGCCCATTTAAATACGGCCTACCGGTATTCCCATTTTGGGTGGTGCACCAGAGAAAACTCCTTTAATTGGGAAAATACACCGTGAAAATATCACTGTTATCTCTTTTATTACATATACAAATGCTTGAAATAATATATCTTATGTTGCTTCAACATATGATGTTTATCTCCATATTTTTAAAAATTATCTAAAAATAACCCATTACTGCACATTTGAATAGTCATAAATTCTTGTAAAAAAATAGAGACTGTTTAGTTCAATAATTTAAATTTTTAATTTGAGTTAAAATGTAATTTTATGTGAGAATTTTTTACTATAATAAAAAAATTAGATACGATTATTTAAAAAAAAAATTATTATAATAAAATTTAAATTTTAAATTCAAATCGGAACAATCTTCAAACACTTTATAAATTTGTAATATTAAAATACCCAAAATGAAGATAACCCTCCGTGTCTCCACTCCACTAGAGACCCTCGTTGTCCCTAATCCTCTTTCCTTTTCATACAAGATGTACCGTTGTTAGACCATCCTCGTGTAAGGCTGCCCCCCAACTAGCACCTCCAAGGCGCCAACTAAGATCTTTTGTTGCGAGATTGTCTCTAGACAAGGGCGTTGTCGCAACTCGCAAAATAAAGAGGACAAAAATGGTATTTTGACCGAATATAAGAGATTTTTTTTTTTGGTATTTTATCAATGAATATTACCAATTACTCCGTTCACTTCGCTAATTCGATTTTAAAATTTGAATTGAGATATGACTTTATGTGAGAGCTTTTTACTGTAGTAAAAAAGTTAGATGTGATTGTTTGTGAGAGCTTTTTACTGTAAAAAAACTCAAATCAGCGAAGTGAACGGGGCCTGAATGTAGTTTTCGCATTTTAAAAATTCAACTGGTTAAACATGGGTAAGGAAATCTTTTAGTTTTTAAAAATGCGAGGGGTAAACCTGACATTTTGACAATATTTTTGTATTTGTATAATTAAAAATGAAAAAAAAAACAAAAATGGCATTTTTACCCATTGAAAAAATGAGAGTTTTTCTAGAGAACGCGAAAAAATAAACTTTCTATAGTTTGTTTTATTTTTTAGCTATCAAATATTTATAAAAAATTATCTCTTTTGCATGTTTTTTTAATCTCATACGATTTTAACTAAATTTAACCGTTAAAAACTGTTACTATCGATAGGGAAGCTTATAGGAAGAAGAAGTCCCTATAAAAATAAATGTATGCTGACTAATGTAAGAATCCGTTTAATTCGTTAATTCGAGTTAAGATGTAATTTTATGTGAGAGCTTTTTACTATAATAAAAAAGTTAAATGTGATTGTTTCTGAGAATTTTTTACTATAACAAAACTTAAATTTTAAACTTAAATTGATGAAATAAACGGGTCTAAATATAGACGTCTTTTTAGATAGTTTTCCAAGATAAATGGGGATTCATTCTAATAAGCGTGCACCCCACGCTTTCTGATATGTAGCCCCTTTCCTACGCCAATCAACGACATCAGGTAACAAGAAAAACGTTATGTAATTCCTTTCACCACCAAAAAAAAAAAAAAGCAATTTTTTGTTTCTTCGGAAAAATGACAACATCATAAATATTTCGACAAAGATTAACAGCTATAAATGACATGTTTCTTTGGAAGTTGTCGTAGTTTTTTGTTTTTTGTTTTCCTTTTTTTACATGATTGAAACATTAGATAATTATATAGAAAGCAGCGTCATTTAAAACGATAAGCAAGTTTTTGGTCGTTTTCCTCTGGATTTTATTCTAAAGCAAATTGACAAGGTATCGAAAACTAGGTATTGAAAACTAAGTTGTCTTTTCTTGCATATACAAGCGTTAGAGAAAGTGTCGGTTTTTTTTTTTTTTTCCAGATTTCATTTTTTTTTTCGGTCAAGAAATAAGTTAACGTTCATTGTACTACTGTAGAAGAAGAAAGAATATATACGAAAATGCTTGTTTAATTCACGGATCAATGAGCACAAGGACATAATATTCATCAAAGATCAGTGACCGACACATATCTCAGATCTCTTGGAAGTCTTCCTCGGACCTTAATAGTAGCATTCCATAAAGCTGAAATGTAATATAATTAATTATCCTAGCTAATTAGAATCCTTTTATATTATCTTGGTGTTAGACGTGGCATTAGAGATAAATATCACTATATTATTCTTTTGTAATAACACTATAATGTCTGCAAACGTGTATTCTAAAAAGTCATCAATAAGTCAGTGTATAACGGAGCGAGTACTGAGAATTACTTCTCTAGCTATAGTCTTATATATAATAGCAATATGAACGGATATTTCTATCATCTGTGGATTGTTCAAAGGTTCTTAATTATTAATTTGTAAAGACTGATAATAATGAGGGGGAAAAAAAAGGTGATGATCAAAAGAAAGTTGTCCAAATAGGAGCCACTGAATCCATTTGGTCAATAAGAAGGGACCTCATCAATTAGCAGAAACGAAAGAGTGAGATATATAGAGGAAAACCAAACACCTTTGAGGATGTGATTGGAACTTTTCTAAGGTATTTTTTTTTCTTTTGAAATATTGTAAATGCATGATTGCCTAAAAATGGAAGGAAGCGTTTTTCCTACGCTTCGATCACTTCACAAGAAAAGACATGATCCGTAGAGGAAAGAATTAGACATGTTTAAAAAAATAAAAAAATAAAAATTAGCACGAAGGAAACTTGAAAAGATTGGACGAGAAAAGATGAAGGAAGGAAAGCATCTATAAAAGACACAAGCAAAAGGTTGTTGAACGACAATCACTTTCTTTGCCACACGTATTCGTCAAACGATCCATCTTTTCTTGTCCCTTATCATCCATTTATGTATTTCCCTCACACACACACACACACACACACACACACATATTTATTGTATGGGAAAATGTGCATCGACACGTCGGATGATAACTATGTTCTACATGGCCCGATACTTATCACGTCAGGTAACTGTCGACGCCTAAAACTTATTTCCCCTCCATATGATGAAAAGGCCGATTGTATGGGGCGATTCATGAGACCGTCGACCCTACATACAATCTAGACCTGCATGATCTATTCACAGCAGGAGTAGTACCATGATAGGGTTGACCAAGAGGGAGGCCGCGCCTTGCCCATTAACTGTCTAGAACAGACCAATGGAAATCACAGGATCCGTAGAGCCGCAATAGTGGACAAAGTGGGTGAGTAAACAGTCCAAAAGGAGTAGAAAGGCTACGGTCTAGGCAAGTAGGGTCATAGGCTACTAGAGAGGGAGAGGGACCCTTAGCAAACCCTTTGAGAAAGCCCGACCCAAAAGATACCCATAAGTAATCTGTAAGCTATAAAAGTGGCAAAGCCTCAGAGAAAGACATGAGATGATTTTTTATGTAACCTGAGAAGAACAAAAGAGAAATACAATATGCAGTAGATGTAGCTCTTTTTACAAGATGAACCACTATAAACTTATTTGCCTCTTTACCTCCATTTGAGTATCATATCAATATTTCTCACAATATACCTCTAAAACAAACAGTTAGCTACATAAATCCAAATATATAACAATATTTAGCTGGTAGCCCAACAGAACACCGAGTGATAATCCAGTGTAATCTTGTTGATGAAATTCCACCGTCAACAATATTGTCGATGGTTTTTCCCTTGTACACTTTTCTATTTTCTCTAGTCTTATCTTGGAGCTCTCTTGTTACCCAACTCTTGCTTTGCTCAGACCTTGCGTATAAGCGAATTTATTGTTTCTAATCTCTATATCACTTCAGCCATTCAATTAAAGAATTTCAGGTTTTTGCAAATTAAGTTAATTAGATCTATAAAGTTGACAAACCGGTGATGATCATCATTTGGTTCATATCTAAAGTATATATGCTTGTCTACTTTCCTTACGGAGAATTGTATCTCCACATGATATATGAAAGTGAAAGAAAAATAATATTTATTTAATAACGTAATACTGAAATTGTAGAGGTGTAATAGTAGTTTAGGATAACTAATTTTTTTGGTGTTACATTTTTCTAATATATACATGATCAATGTTGCATTCAATAAAAATATATTATATATTATGTTTCGTACCTTTATATAATCTATAAAGTACAATCCTCTCTGATGATGTCGATACTATAAAATCAATATATATATATATATATATATATATATATATATATATATCTAAAAAAATGTTATTGAAAAGAAATGATAGCCTTAAATAAGATGTATAAACCCATCAAGTTCAAAGAAACAGATACGCCAAATGAAACATACCTGAACCACTTCTTCATCTTCTGAAGCACACTTCGGAATTTGATCCTTCCCCAATACACGGATATGCGCCCTAGATAACTTCCTCATTTCAGCTATGACTGAACCGCCCTTGCCAAGAAGATATATATATATATATATTTTAGGGCAAAAAGAGAAAAAGTATACTTGTTACATAATACTACGTTTATTTTGTTATTTCTCATTATGACGTTACTAACATATCATAAGCGCTTAGTTTATATACTACATGACTATATCTATAGCCTACGTGAAATAATTATGTGAAAT